AAATGTCTCCAAAGGAGATACAGAAATGGCCAGTAAGCACTGAAGATTTAAGTGAGGAAGCAATCACCTTTTCGTAATGCAAAACAAAATCATAAATTAAAAAATCATTCTGGACTGGGGCACTGGGTGGCTCAGTTGGTTAAGTGTCTGACTTCGGCTCAGGTCATGATCTCATGGTTCATGGGTTTGAGCCCCGCATCGGACTCTGTGCTGACTGTGCAGAGCTTACAGCCTGCTTTGGATTCTGTGTCTCCCTCTCTCTCTGTCTCTCTCTCAAAAAAAAAAAAAAAAAAAAAAAAAAAAAAAAAAAAATTAATAAAAAAAATGTTTTTAAAATCATTCTGGACCTTCTGGGGTCCAAGTGAAAACTGTGTTCATTCCAGATTCCTGGAAGCATGGAGTGCAAATATAGTGTGCTTAAGCAAAGCCACCTCTCACTAATTCTTCAAATACTGAGTACCTGCTCTACTATGTGTGGTAAGCTGGCTCCTGTTAAAATTAAAAAGAAAATCTTCTCCCAACCCAGAAATCTTCTCCATAAAGGTAGTACACACTTTTATTATCAAATAAGCATTAAACAAGAATGTGATGTGCATCACAGGCAATTGACAGACAGAAACCTCACCCCTTCATGTTAGCTGTTACATACATATTTTCTGGTGTGATCTGTTTCATATATATTCTCAACATAAACAGTAATAACTAGTCCCCCAGTAAAAGGACTAGACAGCACTACTGATCACATGTAGTTCACCTCTCTACCTGGTGACTGGGATGACCATCTAGGTTGGCTATTTAGTTTATCCAGAGGAAAAAACACGCTACTCATGATAGGAGTTAGTTGTGCAACTTGGAGCAAGGCGCTCACTAAAGTTAGTGTCCTAGGAAACTGGGAGATTGGGTGCTCTCTCTCTGGATGTTTACACTGCAAACAGCTGGCTCCAGGGCCCTGGAGCAAGACTCTTCTAGGTTCTAGGTCTTAAAGCTGACCCAAGGCCTAGGTAGTCTTCAAAAGGACTTAGGTACATTTCAAAGAATACTTACAATGATCCCTTTTCTAAACTAAATGTTGAAAGAAAAAGGAGAGGTAAATATTTTCAAAAGGAAGAATTAAGCATCTTATTTTTTATATGTCTGCTTTACAGTCCCACACATCACCAACACATCCTGTAGGTAAGACGACGCCCAGTGCATGGCTGGCCACAGAAAGCGGGAACAGGACCTCGAAAATCTTTAGCGGTGACTCGAAGAGGGAAGCCAGGGTCTGGATTGAGAACTTTAAGTTTAGTTTAAGACAAGTCTTCCAAAGCAGGATTTTGATTAAGACTGCACAAGGATGCGTGGCAGCAGCAAGGTTTTGGGCTTAAGTGTTCGAAGATGGAGCATGAATTCTTTCCACCCAAGGGCGGCAGGGTCTTGGGAAGCTCTGTAATGACCACGTGCGAGGCTGCAGGCTTCAGGGATACTACACTGCACGCTGTAGTAAGGTGTGTGGTGTGCTCTCGGCTCTCGTGAGCTAGGGCGAACCCTGGGCAGGGGCCGTGAGGAAAGAATGCCTGCCGATCACCCCGCCCCCTCGCCAACCCCGTCCAGTCGCACGTGGAAGTCCTTTGTCCGCCGCCCGCCAGTCCCAGGACGCGCGCGGGACGCCTGTCCCTTCCCGGTGCCGGGCCGGCGTTGCAGACAGTCCCCTACTCCGCGTGGCTGACCCCACCCGGGACTGCGCGCAGCACAAGGGTAGTTGGCGCCGCGGGCTAGCGACCCGAGACGAACCTGAACATGACCACGCCCCCGCCCCCACGCTCACGTGACCTTCTGGGGCTGGCCCAGCCCCGCCCCCGC